TTTTTTTTTTTTTTATTTTCCTTTTTTTTTTTTGGTACGTGGCTGATATTTCCACATTGAACGAAAGACGGCCTTCTGAGGACGGAGATTCTTTCCAGAAGCCTTTGAAAGTTGATCGGAATCCCCACATTCCACACAAGATACTCCCGCAGCACATCTTGCATATTGTCGATGGACTCAAGGGGAACAAAAGAGACCAAAAATTTTGCACGATATCCCCAGTTCGCTCACAAGCAGGGTGAAGCCCTCAGCCATTAGATAAGTCAATCGAGCGAATAAGCAACACAGTGAAACCTAGGGTAAACTAGGCTCCCGGCAAATCAAGCGTAATGTCTGCTCACGAGGACGATTAAGTAATAGAAGGGCCCAAGGGCCCTTACTATGCGTTCGAGAGTTACTCTAATCGGGCCGATATGGATTACGAAAAAGCTTGCAGAGTACCAAGCGCGGGCCTATTGGACTCAAAATATACACGCCTAGTCTAAGGAGTACTAGACCCCTACGGAGGATAAGGAAGGAGGGAGCCAAGAGCGCTTCCTTGCCTCTACTACATCGTAGGTTTGTTCCGCTGCAGCGCTCGACGAGCCTGCGGAACACATCGAGGAAGGGCCAGGAAAGCTGGGAATAACTTCCGCCGTGGTCACCTGGGAAAAATCAAAGCCGTTACGGCTCGACAGATCTCGTTAAGGATGTTGGTCCACGGCCCCCACACAACTTACCCCGAGGCGAAGAGCACTGTTTGGAAGGTAAGCCGTGATGACGGTGTCGGCGAATGCCCTGAAACGGCATACCACGTGCCGATACTCTGCCCCGGATATGAAGCAGCCCCGCGGTCGGTTCTGGGGCGCCAGTCGACCTGAACGGAAGTGGTGGCGCCGTGGCGGGACTCGCCGTGTGCCAAGAACTCAGCGTTTTGCCAAGAAGTCGGCAAAGCTTCCCTTGGCCACTGGCCGGCTTGCCCACATGCTCCCCCCATTCCCCCGCCTATCGTAGACTCTACAGCCGTACAACGTCTGACTCTTCTAGCGCTGGAATCCCCGGATCGAACCACCTTGTGTGCGTATCGTGGGGGAAAAAGGTGGAGGCAGCATTCCGATGCGATCATGTTTCACATCTCTGTTGCACTCTTTACGATCTCACCACAACTCTCTCATATCCTTTCGCAGCTTTTGCGAACGTGGCATTTTGCAAATTTTTATTGTTGGTCTGCTATGTGTGGTTCATCGGGACAGGGAACGTAAAAATGGACCCAGTCGGTAACATTACTCTGTACTCCATAGACCGTATCGTCATTGTGGGTCATGGGTCCTCCAGATGGAGAGTAATGGGGTCTATGCGGCCCGGAAAAGCGTTCGTTTAGTATAGTTTCATGTGAATCAAGATACTAATCCATACACACGGCCGTTCCGAGTGGGCCCCGATACCACCTGCCATTTATTCCTACGGCGTCGTCGAACGGCCAGCTTGACACAATGAGACAGTCGAGCGAGATTGCTTCGGTCCGCATGCCTTGTGCTTCGCGCAAAGTCGTTGGGTATCATTGGTCGAAAATTTCGTAAAGAACCGGGCAAATTTTGCTTAGCGCCGCATGGGCAACTTGGCGAAAAGTTATCGACATCATGTTGGGGCGCCAAAGGCCTTGGCGGCTCCAGGGACAACATATTGGAATATTGGAAATCGCGCCTGGGGCCTCCAGATTAGTCATTGCCATCATAAGCAGTGGATCCCGCCAAGTGCCAAGTGCCAAGTGCCAAGCGCCAAGGAAAAAGTTTTTGTTTGCGTCTCTCCGCCTCGCTGGACTTTCCCCGTTTGGGGTCCCACCCAGGTTACATTAGAAAGTCCAATATATAAGTTGTTATAAGACCGCGTCTTTTCCTCTCCCGACGTACTCTTTCCGTCCTGATTACTTCTCCCCCAGCTTTTGGCTTTCCTCCCCACCTCCCCCCAACGAACTGACGGCTCTTCCTTTATTCCTACCGTCAACATGTGGACGACCACTAGCGGCTTGAGTGGTCGGTCGCTCCGATTGAGCATCACCTTTGCCGCTGTCGTGGGTTTCTCGCTATTTGGCTACAATCAGGGCATGATGGCGGGTCTCCTGAACGGTGACGAGTTCGTCGACTCCTTTCCAATTCTCAAAATGCCTGACAATCCGACTGCGGGGGAAAAACACTACATCGACGTCATCCGCGGTGCTGTCACATCCTGTTATGAGCTTGGCTGTTTCTTCGGCGCGATGTTCTCCATGTTCTTCGGCGACAGACTCGGCCGCACTCGCTTGATTTGTATGGGTGCCAGTGTCCTCATCATTGGCGCCTTGCTGACAACGGTCTGCTACACTGGTCATTGGGAAGTTGGTCAGTTCGTTATTGGCCGTGTTGTATCGGGTATTGGAAATGGTATGAACACGGCCACAATCCCGGTCTGGCAATCAGAATGCTCCGGCGCGCACAATCGGGGCTTCCTGGTCTGTTTTGAGGGTGCGATGATCGCTGGTGGTACCTTTATTGCCTACTGGGTAGTCTTTGGTCTCTCGCACGCTGCAGATTCTGTTCAGTGGCGATTCCCTATCGCACTCCAGATTTTCTTCGCCTTGGTTGTGGCTGGTGGTGCCCTGATGCTCCCGGATTCCCCGTCGTGGTTTGTCATGAGAGGACTTGACAAGGAGGCTTGTGAAGTTCTCGGTAAGCTCAAGGGTACTTCGCCTGATTCTGATGAAGTTCTTCGTGACTTCAACTTCTTGAAGACGGATATGGAATCCTCGAAGAGCACCCAGTCCAACTGGAAGACAGTTTTTACATTCGGCAAAACCCAGGAATTCCAGCGCCTTCTTATTGGTTGCTCGGGTCAATTTTTCCAGCAGTTTACTGGCTGTAACGCTGCTATTTACTACTCAACGTTACTTTTCCAGGAGAACCTTGGTATGGAGAAATATCTGTCTCTAATCATGGGTGGTGTGTTCTCCACTGTCTACGTCCTGGCCACGATCCCGTCATTTTTCATGATTGAAAAAGTCGGCCGTCGCAATCTGTACCTGATTGGTTTCCTCGGTCAGGGGCTGAGCTTTGTGATTACATTTGCTTGCTTGATTAAGGAAACCGAGGAAAACTCGAAGGGTGCCGCTGTTGGTATCTTCCTTTTCATTACTTTCTTTGCATTTACTCTGCTACCACTGCCCTGGATCTACCCCCCCGAGATCAACCCCCTCCGTACACGTACTGTGGGTGCGTCGGCGTCTACATGTACCAACTGGATCTGCAACTTTGCCGTCGTCATGTTCACACCCCTTTTCGCTGGCCAGAGCCCATGGGGTGTTTATCTCTTCTTCGCGCTCTTCAACTTTATCGGTTTGATCTTCGGCTTCTTCTTCTACGTGGAAACCGCCGGCCGTGAGCTTGAAGAGGTCGACATCATCTACGCCAAAGCCCATGTCGAAGGGAAGATGGCCTGGAGAGTTGCCAACTCCATGCCCAAGCTCTCCTTCGAAGAGATCGTCCAACAGTCTCGCGAGCTGGGCTTGGACACCAGCGAACATGCCGCGCCGGAGAAGACCGAGATTGGCCTCAGCAGTGACAGTGGTCAGGAGACTGAGGAGGTCCACGAGAAGCATTAAACGCTCTTCGGAAGTGGGACGTGCGGTCGCTGTGGTTGAAGGTGGTGATGATATTTGAAAGTGGCGGTTATCTAATTTCTTTTTGATTGCTCTGTTTATTTTCTATACCCTACACTCGACATCCGGGCACTTTGATTGGCCTGTTTTTAATATTCCTGTCACCGATTCTATGTACAGTATACCCTGCCTCGTGTGCATGGACAACTCGGGCACCGAACAGGACTGTCGGGTTATATCCGTTCGCTTTAGAATATCTACATTGGGGCAGCTGTATAGGCGATCCTGGTATATATGGTGATAGCAATATCGGGACACCCTGTATATAATAAATGAATAAAGGTGCCAAACCTTCCTGTCTCACAATTTGAACTCATCAGGGACATGATCCAAAGTAACTACTGAGTAAATCACTTCCTAGAAGGCTTATGTTTTCTGGCTGCGGTAAGCTTTTAATTTATACCATCTGTTCTAACCTACGACTGTTTGGAGGTGTTCGAGCTCCTGTATATGGTACTGGGTGACCACAAAGCACTGCTACGCCGACATTAGAAGCCCTACGTGACCACTTGGTCGACAGGTCTGATGTATACCAAGACGAGATGGTAATACTTTGTGTGATAAGTTCCAAAACTATGTATTTTGCCTGTAGCATTGACGGGGCCCTTGCCTTGACCGGTTGGTCGAGGAAAGTAGCTGGGTGAATTGTAAAGGGGTGGAATATGGATCTATAAGATCTTTATCCCTCTAATCTATTATTATTCCAATCATATCATCTGGCCTATGTTGATTAATTGGGTTGTGATGAGTGGGTAGGATTTTAGCCAACTAGGCTTGATAGAGACAGCGGTAAGGTTTACATAGCTTCAAAATTAATAGTAAAGTTAGACCTACATATACTGAATTGCGTCTTTTAAATTTTATAAACTATGTATAGATTGTTTCTCAATATAATCCTTTACTACAGATGTGTTGATTTTACTCTCTGAGGTTCGTATTGGTCAGAACAAACAAATGCAATAATCCGATCATTGAGACGTGAGCTGGCTACCGCAGTCCGAGAATTTTTGATGACTGAGCATCCAGATTCTACCGTCACATCCAACTTCGATGGCTCAACCTGAGGATTGATTTGAACCACATCCATCGCAACCAAGCTTCCTGTACTGGAAAAGCATTGTGCGCTATAAGTGCCCTCATCTCGTGTCAGCCATGGAGTCTCAGGAAACCCAGTAGAAAGTGCCCATTCTGGATCTAAAGAATCGATATCAAATGAAACGTCCAACGGTGTCTCATCGTTGAGATATTCCAAGGCTGAGTCCATGACTTTCTGAATACTGTGTCTGGCAGGTTTGCTGGTGGTCGGCGAGGAGAAAATAATGAAAGCAATGATATAGACAGTCAGGCTTACTATTTTAACTTCATCATCATAGCAAGCGTTGACATCATGTTTCACAATAAGACCTTTCTCTGCGTCGTCAACGCCCCGAAGATCAATATATGGGAACGTTTGCAGATTGATAAGATTGCTCTCCTCAATCCAATCAAAGATACCGCTCTCTCTCAATCTGACAAGGCTAGAAACGAAGCAATGGTCATCCCATGAATCCTACCACTAGGACACATCTCTAGCGTGTTGATATCAGCATGTGCATCGATCCACAGCACGCCAATTTTGCGACCGAAATGTCTTTTGCGAATGGCTTTAACAACGAAAAAGGTGGTACCAATCCCAAGTGAATGATCACCACCTAATGTAAGAATAAACTTCCCTTCTCGCGCCTGATTATACACGAGCTCACTGGTCCGCTTGGTAGTCCTGCTCACCGTCCGGGGTTTTTTCATGCCCTGAATTCATCATCGAGGATAGGATTAGATTGCGGGTAGGGCTTAGCATGCTCGTCAAAGGTGATATCGATGTTTGACTTTTCCTGTATCTCCCCGGAAGACGCCAGAATCTATCAACGCGCCCGGACCTCCCTGGGCACCATTTCTCGGCTTACCCAACGTTAAAGTCTTCTTGCATAACGGCAAGTTGGAATACGTACCGCACCACAAAATACCTTAGCTACCACCACAGCTAGATGAGGGCTGGCCAGAAACCTTGGCAACCGAGCCTGTTGGATCATGTGGCGTCCGTGTATTGAGAATGTGGAAAAGGCTCTTCAGGTTGAAAACTTGAGCATCTATGAAGGATGCAAAGTAGAATGTGTGAATAAGTCTGACAAAAGTCGACAACCAAGCTCAAGGAAAGGCGAAATATGGGGTTTGATCGCCGACTTGTTGCTGTCTCACACCCAAGTTCTTCTGTAGGGCTCGCCCCACTTGCAGAGATCCCTGGTTTAAGCTTCCATTAAAGTTACGTATCGGCGACCTGCGCCCTGTTGTCACGGATGTTGTGAAAATGCCGACTTCCGTGGGATAACTTGGCAAGTTGGTCCAATCCCATTTGTTAGAACGGCAGAACCAGTCTCGGAAAGTACTAGAGACTTTGGTGAATTTATAAAAGTAAAGAACTGGCTATCTAATGTGGGTCCAGACAACTCCAAAAACCTCGTGGCCAAGGTAAACACGAGATAACCGGTTCTGCTGGCCAATTAAACGCTAAAAAACCTCACTTACGCTTCCATTTCTCCTTTCATGGTCCGTATGGCCGTGATGCAACATTGAGGTTGCGGGGTAACCCCAAATTTGAGACTTGGAGATATTGGAGATATAAAGCAACGTAAGTCATGGAAAAATCTATTTTATGTTAGACACCAGATTGATAGCTCTACCATCGTCTACAGTTTCGCCTACCACTTTGTCACTATGTCATCGGCCAGCTGGGAAGATCTTGCCGCTGATAAAAGGGCACGTCTAGAGAAGTCCATCCCAGACGAATGGAAAATTAAGACAGTCCCAACAGAAGGCTCTGTTATTGATCTGCCTGAGAAGTCGGGGGTTCTGTCACCTTCTGAAATAAAGATTACAAACTCGTCTGCGACAGAACTTGTCATTCACCTAGCTAATGGCACGTTGAAGTCCGTGGATGTGACGCTGGCGTTCTGTAAAAGAGCTGCACTGGCTCATCAACTCGTGAGTATAACCTTCGCCTCGGTCGAGATACGTGATGCTAAAATGAGAATAGGTCAATTGTGCACATGACTTCTTCCCAGAGTTAGCATTAGCCCAGGCCAAGGAGCTTGATACATATTTCGAGACGCACAAGAAACCCGTGGGACCATTGCATGGATTACCGATCTCTTTGAAAGACCAATTACGAGTCAAGGTATAATGACCTTCCTACACTGGCGTGCATCGCTTCTAACATGGAACTAGGGAACTGAAACATGCATGGCCTATATCTCGTGGCTGGGTAAGCGCGACACCAGCGATTCGATATTGACTGCGCTCTTGAGAAAGGCGGGCGCAGTATTCCTCGTCAAGACGAGTGTACCGCAAACGTTGATGGTATGCGAGACCGTCAATAATATTATCGGTCGGACGTCAAACCCAAGAAATCTCAGCCTCTCTTGTGGTGGTAGCTCTGGAGGCGAGGGTGCTATGATTGCTATGCGTGGAGGTGCCATCGGTATAGGAACTGATATCGGTAGGTTTCCCTGTTTAGTTCATTAGTTTTCATGGCAACTCATGGCGTTTAGGTGGATCTATTCGTGTCCCGGCTGCATTTAATTCTTTATACGGGATCCGTCCGAGCCACGGTCGTCTCCCTTATGGTGGCATGACGAACAGCATGGAAGGACAAGAAACGATACACAGCGTCGTTGGGCCAATTGCGCATTCTGCTCAAGGTATACCTTCTGAGTTATATCTTCGCCTGGAAGTACTAACACCTTTCAGATGTTAAACTTTTCCTTCAATCTGTCCTCAAGGAGGAACCTTGGAAGTATGATTCGAAAGTCATACCGCTTCCTTGGAGGGAGGCGGAGGAAAACGCCGCCCAAGCAAAAATTGCCGAAAAAGGTCTAAGTTTCGCTTTTTATGATTTTGATGGCGTTGTAAGTATTGACCACTCCTCCTACATTGGTAATCACATTGTTTAACGATTGGATAAGGTACGTCCACACCCTCCGATTACTCGTGGTGTTGAGATTGTCCGCTCTACGCTCGAGAAAGACGGACATACTGTGGCACCCTGGACACCCTACAAACATGCATTTGCCGTTGACCTAGCCAACAAAATCTACGCTGCAGATGGAAGCACAGTGAGTAACATCCCATGAAAATTAGTATAAATGCTAACATAATGTAGGACGTATACAAACACATCAACGCCTCAGGAGAGCCCGCTATTCCGAACATCAAAGACCTCATGAATCCCAACCTACCCAAAGCAGATTTGAACGAGGCATGGGACGTGCAGCTACAGAAGTGGAACTATCAGTGCGAATACCTTGACAAGTGGCGCGAATGGGAGGAACGGACGGGCAAGGAGCTTGATGCTATCATCGCCCCGGTGGCGGCGACAGCTGCAGTCCGTCACAACCAATTCCGGTACTATGGATATGCTACTGTTTTTAACGTGCTGGATTACACCAGTGTTGTTGTTCCAGTCACCTATGCAGACAAGGCGGTGGATCGCAAATTGGCAGATTATCAGCCGCTTAGTGATATGGATAAGGCGGTTTATGCAGAGTACGATCCTGAGGTTTATCACGGCGCACCTGTTGCTGTGCAGATTATCGGCAGACGTCTTAGTGAGGAACGGACCCTGGCTATTGCGGAGTATATTGAGAAGTTGCTGGGTCATTAAGATTGGAAGCCTAGTTTTAGCCACTACCGAAACAGTCTTTTGCTAGTGAGACTAGTTGTGTTTTAGCACTTGTACGAGGCCGTGGCAAGTATTTCGCCATCTTAATAAGCTTATACGTATCGATTGGTTAGGTTAATAGGGTCAGTTATATCTAACTGCTAGGTTGTACTGTATGCCGAGGCGTGTACAGGCTGGTATTGAGGCAGAGGGCTGGTATACTAAATACTAGCGAAAAAAGAAATATTATTTTCTGTTTTAGTGTTTTCTAAGCTATATACATTTATGTTTACTAGTAAATCGCTCTATTTTTCAAAGAATGGTGGTTATTTGAAAACGTTGGTTGAATATATATTTTGGTGTAGTTCGGGCCGTTTAACAGAAGCTTTTGACATCGAACTGTACTATCCTCCGTACCCCTCCAATTATTTCCAAATCAATCCAAAGTTTCCCTTTTCCAACTTTTTCCCAACACCTTTCAAAAGAAAATCCAAATAATCCGGTAATTTGGAGGGGCAAGTGGTGGGGAAATCGAATGACGGAGCGGAACTTCATTTATCCCAGGGTACTGCACGTGATGCTTTATTTTATTCATTATCTGGGATAAACCTAGCCAAGCATCTTCTGCGAGTCAACGGTTATGGCACAAAAATAAGAAGGTAAAACGGAAGAAGTAAATCAAAAAACAGACGGGAGGCATATTCCAGCGTTTGGTCACCCAACATATAAATTTGAAAGCTATTGCGCGCCGCCACTACCCAGGATTATACAGCTATTCACATCACTTTACTCTTAATACAGGCCTGTCGCCTTCTAGGCGCTCGTCATGATTGGCTGCATTAAGAAGTCATCATACGCCAGCTCCTCCGCAGTTGGTCGCTCTTCAGGTAACCAACGGAAAATTCTCCGTAGGAAATTTAGAAAGAGCTCTCTGTCTATGCCAGAAAGCTGCCGTTCTCTCATCTCCAGCGATTGTTCTGGTATGGGAATAGACCCCTTCCAATTGCCTGTGACGGGGCAGATTTTAACGTTATGAAGAACCAGGTGACAAGAAGGAGGGGATGTTTTAAACAAGACATACCTTGCTCGTCCCAAAACTGACGTGATCTTTCACTTCTTCTGAGGAATTCCGGTGGAGGAGGTCCCATAAGAGATACCATTTCTGCTAGGTGCTGCTCATCATCGAGCAGACCTTTCCTTCTTGCAAAACAAAGGTGGCTATCCTGCAGCAAATCCCAGAGCTGAATCCTTAATTAGCCTCATGCTGAAATTATCGCAGAGTCAACGAGTAATTTACCATTGTTCCAGTAGACCAAATATCAACCTTACAGTCCCAGCCCATATCCAGAATTACTTCTGGTGCCCGATAAATTCCTGGCATAATATCGCCTTCGTGTTTTCCCTTCCCAATTCTAGCTTCGCCAAGATCAGAAATAACCGGCGAGCTAGCGCATACAGGTATGGGGCGGGAGTAATATATAGAACGGTCATCTAAAACTTTTCTTGGAATTGGTTGCATTATCTCGTCTTGTTCAATTTGAGATAGGATATTGCTATCCATAATCCCTTGGCATATATTATTCGATGAGATATCTGCGATGTTAATAAGTATCTCATATTTTTAACTTCTTAGGATATATAAACCTACCAGTATGAATAACTCCGTTATCGTGCATAAAAGCTAGTGATATTAATAAGAGTTGGATACTTCTCTGAGCAAGATCTTTCGGGAATTTATTGCCGGGAAGTGACTTCCGAAAATCAGTAAAACTCATTCCAAGTGGTTGATAAACTAAGCAAAAGTGTGTTCCATAAGGACCGGTAATTTCAAATGAGTCGAGAACTAAACGAACTAGATATTTCCCAGGATGGCTATCAGACTTCTCTAAATGGTGCGAGATAGCTAGTTCGCGCTGAGGACATTGTCCACGAATACAAACTTTCACTGTAAAGTAACCATTCCCTCTGCAATTGTTAAAATGGATAATATATTATAGTGTTTGGAAATTACTTACTGAAGGTCACGGCAAAGCCAAACTGTAGAAGATGTGCCGTATCCAAGCTTTGAAACAACCTGGTATCTAGATGCCAATACTTCACCAATGTACACAGGATAGAAGTTATGTGGATCATAAAGGGGGACCTCCTCTTCTTCTACTTTCTCTCTGGAGTCCAGTTTCACGAAGCCAGATTTGGGAAAGCAGCGCGGGGAATTAGAAGGCACGCGGTCCATTGTTCTTGTCGATGTGCAATGTAAAGAAGCTGCGAAACGTATTGGAGATGATTTTACACAGGTTGGGGGCAGTACTCTAAGAGATGCGCGAAATAAAGACATGGTAATATTTTGTTCCTAGGTTAATCATAGGAGCACCTTTCTTTTAAAACAAGAACAGCTCAGCTCTCTCACTTAAGGCCGGTAATATCATTAAGGTTCCGGTGGGTCACAGTTCCATTTGCTGTCTATTATGTAGCTCCCGGAATATCTTATATCCGTGTTATTCGGGCTGGGAAAGATTCCCATTCTCACTGGCACATATTGAAACGTGTTGGGTTTGATTGGAAAACATCGGATTTGGTCGGAGAACATTGGATTCGATCGGACAATCGATTATTTAGAATCTAATAGGATCTAACTCAGTGCTATCTTAAGAAACCAAAACTATATCGTCCAATAAAACTGCAGGATTTTGATTTTACGCAGATGGTTAGAGCTAGACTTATGGCATCCAATAGCTACATCTTTACACTCTGGTGGAGGTCCTGGATAAGGTATATTAGGCCCCGTTAGCCTTCTCCTGTGCCTCCCTTCTCTGCTATTCGCATCTAAATCTTATGTCCTTATCAGCTTTCTCTGTTCTATATATTTATCATTCTCTTTCCATTGGTCAAGTTTCCTAGACAAGATGTTTAATTCTAGCAAAGTCTTGGGAGTTGCGTATGCAGGAATCTCCTTAGAAACCCTGGCCGCAAAAGCGGGAGCAGGGTACGCCAAGACAGTAGATGCTGCCGGTGCATCCCTCGAGAAACGCGTGAGTCCTCTATCCTCCCTACCCAGATTGATAATTAAAAGTGAAGCTAACACCAATGCGTTTAGTACCTAATGTTGTTACCGGTAAAATTTAGTACGTAAACCGCAAATATGTTGGTTCGAATGCGTCTCGCAAGACTTACTCACATTTCCAAGGGGTACTACACCTCACGAATCTAAGAAGGACAAGACCGATGACAAAAAAGTCGTTACCGTCAGCTATCATACCAAAAGCGGGACAAGATACTTGTCTATCCATGCCCATGAAGATGGCACCTGGAAAGAGTTTCTCTCTCGTTCTGGAAGGAGTGTTAGGCCGAAGGATGACTCTGAGGAAAAGGCGGACTCCGAGTCGAATAAATAGCCCTGATCTATGGGAGGTCTGGCCTGGTTGCATTGACTGCAGTACCGCACAATGTTGTCCTGGGTGATCAGATTGGTTAAACTTGTTGCTCACTGCCTTGTTACTCCACATCACTCTTGGTTCTATCTAGTTTTAATCTATGCACAATATTAGTCTTATGGTAAAGCCCGAGATATCTGCAGGTACCTGAGCTTAATAAGGCAGTACATCTGGCGCGACGTTATATTTATGTTGATGAAGCAGCCTTCCCTAGATAATCTGTAAATTAATATACCTAATCGATAGATTTATAGATTTAGATTTTGTTCCAGTATCTAAACCCAATCTATAGATACAGGTCCTGATATTGGACCAGAACAAGTAGTTTTAGGTAGGACTACTCTGTAGAAGTACCTCGTACAGATAAGATACCAAGTGAGCAGCCTAACCTTACCCTAAATATTAGGGCCTCATTTACCTTATTAATTTTCAATTTAAAAACAATATAACTTATGGTTCTAGGGCTATAAATACCATTATTTTAAGGTCAGTAATTAACCGTAATCTTAACCATTAGCCACTCTAATAGGGTGGTGGTAGAATTTCAAAAATTTGTTTCACGAAAGAGTAGTTTATTCCGAAATTATTCAAAATTTCTATACAATCCGTCTAACGCCTTGTTGAGTGACGTCACATAGACAAGATTGGTGCCATCTTTGGAGCCGTACTGTCTCTACTAAGAATGCACTAATGACCCTGCATGGTAGTATAGATTTGCTAAACACGGCTCTTTACATTCATCAGGGCCGAACAAGCACAGGCTATAAATCCAGCTTTCTTCACATGCATGACGAATATGATCGGAAGCACGAACGGTCTTAGTGGGGGTGCGGCCCGCAATACGGACGGACGGAACTTAGCACATCACTGTAGTTCCTTGTCTCCTGCTTTAAGGTTCCTTCATGACTGACCCCCGTTCTAGCCTTCGCCGACTTTTCGTTGACCATCGATTGTTGGGCGAACTTACGCGGGTATAGTCGGTCACCCAATCATATGCGGAGTACAACTTCATGTCATGTATGAGTAACCACGACGGCCAATTTCGGGCTCAGATTCTGCCAGCATAGCTCACCTTCACCTTTGAACCTCACATTCTAGCCACACGGTGCATAATTTGCTAGGAACATCAGCCGGAGATGGACCGCAATAGAGAACAAATAAGGGTTCCAGCAAGCATGTGACAGGGACATGTGACATAACTCCGCAATATCCGCCCCCCGCGGAGCTTAGCTCCGGCCCCGCCTTGTTGACCAAGCTACTTGAATCGCAGCCCTGAAGATCCTCCTCCAAACACTCTATATAATCCAACATTCCCCCCTGGCCGCTCTCAAGACATCCTAGTAAATATGTCAAAAGCCTTACGCCTCGCCATGAGTTTATCACGTTCTTATCCATGGGTGGCCAATCCCTTCATCGTCAGCGCCCCAATGCGCGTGATGTCCGGCCCCGCCTTGGCCGTCGCCGTGTCGCGCGCCGGCGGTCTAGGCTTCCTCGGACCGGCTGTTAAAACACAAGATATGCTCGTCGATCTTGAGAAGGTGTCAACATTAGTCGAGGAGGCTCGTAAGTCCTCGTCCGCTTTCTCATCGTCTACCAATGTTCTGCCCATTGGCGTCGGTTTCCAGCTCTGGAGCGATGACCTCGCCACCGCCGTTTCCGGTATCCAGAAGTACAAACCATGCGCTGCATGGCTCTTCGCCCCAAAAGGTGGCCAAGAAGATTACGACCACTGGTCGCGCAGCATCCGCGATGCGTCATCACAGACCCAGATCTGGATCCAGATCGGTACGCTAGCAGAGGCAAAGGGACTCTTGAAGGGATCCGAGCGGCCCGATGTAATCGTTGTCCAGGGATCAGAAGCCGGCGGTCATGGTCGACATAAGGATGGACTCGGACTGATGACGCTCCTCCCGGAAGTCGTCGACGCCTTGGCTGGTAGTCAGATCCCTATCTTTGCGGCGGGAGGTATTGCCGACGGGCGAGGAGCTGCGGCGGCACGTTGTCTGGGTGCCGATGGTGTTGTCCTGGGAACACGGTTTTTGGCCTCCGAGGAGGCGCGTATTAGTCGCGGGTATCAGGGTGAAATTGTGCGAGCTACTGATGGTGCGGCTTCCACGACGCGCACGTTGCTTTACAATCATCTTCGAGGTACGATGGGCTGGCCTGAGCCGTATATGCCGCGTACTATTATCAACAAGAGTTTCATTGAGCATCAGGCTGGCCGGTCGTTTGATGAGCTCAAGGTGGAGCATGATCAGGCTCTGAAGGCTGGTGATGCTGGTTGGGGTCCCGAGGGAAGGCTGGCTACTTATGCTGGTGCGTCTATTGGGTTGATTCATAATGTCAAGGATGCTGCGACTATCGTGCATGATGTTCGGGAGCAGGTGCTCGAGCGGCTGGGCCCTGAGGGACGATCTAAGATTTAGATCGAGTGCGATGTAGATTACGGCTTTACTGTTCAAAACTGTTCAACTAGAAATAATGACTCACTCCATGGCGACCGGCCACGCATATCATGTAATGTAGCTTATAATATTAGGCAACGTATATTTTCCTTCCTCCTTAGTACTATCTGTGTACCACCAAACACCCTCGATTGGGTGTGCTTGGGAGAGGACTGGCATGTGTGACGTCATACTTTGCCTGATAATTGACCTGGCAGTACACAGTATATCGTCTACTGGGTCTTTTTACTATCATCTAGTCTCAAATCTAAAGGCTGACTGATGTAAAGAGTCAAAGCAGATTCAGTCCTTCATACCTGAACCTGGGAACTATAATAGTCTTATTAAATAGATCTTAGATTCGAAAATTCATAGATTTTTTTATATGGCTGGTATTTATATTCATGTTTTCCTACCCGATCCTGAAGCAAAAACCTCAGTATAGTTATCTTGTCCAGATTTCCAGCTCATGCTGATACTAAGGGAAAATTTAATGCTTGCAGGATATCAGGGAGTTCCCCCATTACCACAGCGATCTGTCCAAACAGGGACCCATAACTATTAGACTATCCATCTCTCTAGATAAGTGCTTGTAGAAATGCATTGGACATTAGGGCAGTTAATTCTTTGGTGGAGATCTAGGCTCCTAAAAATTGCCATGTACTATTTCTTTTCATAGATGGGCCTTTGATCGGGAGATCTAAACCGTTTCAGGTAACATAAGCGTTTAAACCAATCAACCTTTATAATTAGTGGGCCTCAGATTGTCCCATGGCGAACCACAACCAAATTCAAGGCTCTAGCCCGGTATGAGGGGCTTTTGACTAAATTGCCAGACACGACGTGTTAAAGAGGACAACGCACCCCAACATTCCAATTCAAACCATCACAGACTTTTCACCTCCCACTACACACTGAACACCATCTATTTAAGAACAGGGGGAAAAATGCAGAACTCAGTCTTCGAAACCGCAGCCAGCGCAGTCCAAGCAAGGAATCGCATCCGCAGCCACATCTACCAAACGCTCCTCATTCCATCTCGAGTGCAAGGCAAATCCCATGGCGCAAAGGCCCTATTCAAAGCAGAGAACTTCCAACTAACGGGATCATTCAAGATCCGAGGCGCAATGTCCAAGATATCCGGCCAACCTGCGAACGGGCGGTTAATAACCGCCTCGTCGGGCAACCATGGGATAGGCGCCGCATGTGCCGCGCAAGCGCTCTCTAAAGATCTTACTGTTGTCCTCCCGGAAACGGTGGTACCCGCGAAGTTGGAGAAAATTAAGTCCTACGGGGTGAATGTTATTCTGCATGGAGCTGAAACGGGCCTTGCTGAACAATATGCTCAACGGTTCGCTGCTTCGGATTCGTATACTTATATTTCGCCATACAATGATCCGGATATTGTTGCCGGGCAGGGGACTATTGGGTTAGAGATTCTCGAACAGTGTGAAGAGGTGGATAATGTTTTCGTGTCTATGGGTGGTGGGGGATTGATTAGCGGTATTGGGGCGGTCGTGAAGGCGTTCAGTCCGCGTACGAAGGTCTATGGTGTTTCTGCGATTAATTCGAAAGCTCTCGCCGAGTCCATGGCTGCGGGTCATGTAGTTGAGACAGAACATCGGGATACCCTAGCTGATGCTGTTGCTGGCGGCATCGATACGGATACAATCACACTCCCGTTGGCAATGTCCGTGGTAGATCACGTCGTTGAATGTGATGAGAACGAGATTAAAGCAGCCATGAAAACTATGGTGTTTGATGAAAATATGAATGTCGAAGGCTCTGCTGCTCTTGCTTTGGCAGGCTTCAATAAAGTCGCACGACAACTCGCCAACCAAACTAGCGTCATTGTCTTGTGCGGTGCGAACTTTGACCAAACTGTCTTCAAGAGTGCGGTTCTGGATCTTTAACATAAGTATATCCTTAATTATGTTTAAAATACTAGATAGACTGAAATTCAAAGTTTATGTACCACAAACCCACGTTTATTACACCATGTATTCGAATATCCCATCCGAAAATCAGGATACCAAAACCACCCCCTATGTCCTCAAGTTGATGTCGGTTCATCGTTGGTTTGTAGGAGCTAGTCAATTCAGGATTGAATATCGATAGTTTATGCAAGATTGATCTGCAATCCGAGGGTGGCGTTCATGACAGAGTTGCCATAAAAGAACTCGGTTCTGTACAGACAGTTAGCAGTCTTTGGGCTGAAATGGCGGAGAAAAGCAACGTACCCAGCATTACCAACGTTCACATAGGTCGACTCAGTGAAGCGTCCTAGTTTGGACAAAGCAAGAAGCCAGTCCTTCAGATCGCCGGTAAAGGTTCCCTCAAATTGTGTGTCGGGCATCAGAGTGCTGACGGTGATGCCGGTGTCCTCGTTAACGTCTTCATACAGTTTCCACGAGGTGCCAAAGAGATTGTCAATCGTGGCGACAGCACCGTTAGTCCAGCCGATGGGGAGCTGTCCGCCCTCGTACTGCAGCCAGAGCATCAACTCCCGAGAGGAGGAAGAAGTGGAATCACCCTTGACGTCGTTGGTCATGAAATCGAAGCAGACATTTCCTGTTGAAGATCCATAAGCTATATCCCGCATATGCCTCAATAGGATAGAATTATACCCTTGTATGCAGTTGTGTTGGTACGAGTCCAACTGTAAGTGCTAGGAATCGAGTCGATGGCCGACAGCTTCGTTTCAAGGTTCTGTGTGAGACCCACGAAAGAGTAGCCTTTTGGCACATTGTTCCTGTGGACCATGTCAATTCCACCCTCTAAACTATAAATACCAAGTGAAACTCTTACGTGCTTTCGACATATTCGATGTCTGTCACACTACTCCATATAACCTCCTTAGTTCCGCTGGTAGACGTGGTTACCTGGTCGTAGTTGGTGCATTGCGTGCCGACGATCTGGTTCGCATTGTACAGCATGTTGTAGACGATCCATGGTGTGTCCTGCAGAATAACGTAGTCGTAGTCTCCACAGTGCTCACTCGCCGCCTGGGCCCGAGAGGAAAGAGCAGGAAGGGCAAGGGCAGATGCCGAAAAGGAGAGGGCCGCCAGGGCACGGGAGAGGTGAACCATGTTGATGAAAAAGAATGTATAAGTGAGAAAGCAACACGGTTAAAACCTAAACAACAAATGAACGAGTGCTATTAAACCGAGCAAATCTTGGGATAGGTAGACGGGATGGATATATATGGCAAAGAATATGCTCCTTAAGACTTAACCACGACTGTATACTTGAAACCGCCTGAAACAGAGAGTGGGCCTCATGAAGATTCATGGCTAATTTTCGGAAATGACCTCGAGGGGCCAAACTAAAGCTTAAATTAGTACATATGCCATAAGAGTCTATTAACCGGTACTGAGTAATGGATCGACATAACCATAGCCATGATAATTTATAGTTGATTAGTACTCTGTACATAGTACAGAGAATATTTCCCGTTGATGTTCGGTAGCAATAGGGGATCAGCTAATGGCCCGGGAACCAAGATTGAATGCCAAGCTCCGGGTAACACCCGAGCAAACCAGTAAAGATTAGGAATCTCGCCAGACAGATCCAACCTATGATGAGGGATAGGATATCCTGGATTGACCAGCTATAGAACAGATAAATACACTTAGGTAGCCCAATTACGTGTATAATGTATTTTTGCTAAGGTGCTAGTATATTAGAATTGTGGTGCCACTCAACACACACCAACCATCGTCCATGCTAACTATATATATTTCGAAATGTCATAGCAGAGAGCCCGAGCATAAGTGCTCCGGCCGCAAAGACACAACTATTAAGCCTCGTCTAGAACAGCCATCACAGAGCTCTTTAACAATACGCATTTTTCATTTCAGGGATTCAAGATAACGCATTTGACCGTAATCTCGACCCTATTGTAGAAAGCTAGGTGTTGCACGCCATGACGCTGAAATAGGAAGGTAGATACCTTAGGCAGGCCATGGACCAGGAAACATAAAAAGGACTCCTTATTTCCTGTGGGAAAGCAAATTGGCACTCGATATGATTTATCCATCGAAGCTAACATCCAGGCCTTATAACGTCCACTAGATCTGTAGACCCTGTAGACTTCTCTCCACATAATTTTCCAATTCTTCGATCGGGGGGAGGGCTTTACACGTGATCTTTTCACAACTGGTTTCACTAGGTGCGCACTTCCACGTGACCGAGATCCCCTGGAGAGTCGGCGACTTTTTCTTTTTCTGGAATTGTAGGGCTCCACTACTATGGAGCCAAATACCAATCACGGAGCGGAGATTAGCGCAACCACATCATTTATCAGGATGTTAAGCGCCGAGTTCAGCGCCCCGATGAGCGTCAAGATCCTGTAGGTAAACACTGCCAAATAGACGAGTGTTTTTGAGGTCGGGCCTCTCGAGGCAGCAGTGATTTTGCTCGGTAGACTGCCGTGCACGGTGTGCATCAAGTTTTTCTGGCTAATAAGGTACAACGACATATGTATATGCAAAGTTGCACGGCTACTTACTGCTGCCATTGTCAGGGAAAAATATGGATGTGCTTAAAACTAGCCGCTCTGTATCGGTCTAACATCTAGTAGAATATGCTCATGCCTTGGCCATGCCAATAGATCCTTGTCATGAAAACCAAACCTAGCCTCTGACAACTAAAGAGGCGAAGGATCAGCAAATGGCCCCCAAGACCAGCGTGCTAGCACGTTCCACCACGTCTGTTGGCCATCCAGAAGGCGACAGCGGTGACAGGTCGACCGCCCAGACGTGAAACAGCTCGGCGGCTAAATCTTAATATCAAGCTTGAAAAAGGGCCAAGGAGTCCTCTCAAGTCTGTCGCCCGTGAACAAAAAGTTTAAGGCACGCGATATCCTCGGGATTCTATATTATTTTCTTTTTTTACCGGGTATGTGGTTTCGGTACAAACCTGCCAATGCAGCGGATCAACTTCCCTTGGGGAAGTGCCCGTCTCAATCGGAGAGACCGATCGTAACACACGACTTAAATGATTTCACACAGAAGCAGGATCACATCTGTCAATGGGGTATTGGGTGGAAAACCACGCTCATCCTCTGTGGCAGTTTCTCCTTAGGTACGGGTATTTTGTGCCTACGAATCTGAATCTAGAAGAGATGCTGACACTCACCCGCAGCCCTCGCACTAGCTATCACTCATGTAACCGTATTCCGCTATCTCGATGGAAAGCTTGAGAATGATCCAAATATCCCGTCGCAAACCTATGTCACGGCCGCCTCAACCATTGTGGCCAACGTTATTAGCTTCTGTATTCGCATCTGCCTGGCAGCGGCGTTTACTCAATATTTCTGGCATCTTGTCCGGATATCCTCTATGCGGCTTGAAACTTTGGAATTTCTCTATACTATGAGGGGAAGCCCAATGTCATTCTTCTCCTTAAATGTACTTCAAAAGGGATGGTTGCTAGCTATTATTACAATGGTCCTATGGGCTGTTCCTGTCGCTATGAGTTTTCCATCGAGCTCAATGACTGTTAGGAGTGCTGTAAGGACACACAAGGTATCCCAGACTCAAATGCCAGGTATGAATCTCTCAGAGGTTAGTACACTCAACCCAAATTTGACACTAGTCATCTAATCGTGAATTTTTACGCAATGCAGACCTGGGGTGGTAACGCGACGATTATGAAGGATAAAGAATTAGCCTTGTTTGTGCCGAATAATTGGCGAGAGCAGAATGATTCTGACTACGTCGAGGTAGAACCATCTTCTTATTGAACGAGTGGAGGGATCTGAATCTTACTGACTACATTTTAGGTACTCCGTGCTGAACAGTTGACCATTGCAGATATGGGGCTTCAGATCAAGCCTGTTATCTACCAGCTGGCTACAGAAACTATCGTGAACGGCGAGCCGCGAAGAATGAGCTCACCTTGTGGGATGAATTGTTCCTATGAACTTTCGTTCGATGGACCGTACCTAAGCTGCAACAATACCGATTTTGATAAGATGAGCCCGCCGCTCAACAGGAGTGCTACTTGGTTCTATGCACTTGAAAGTAACTGGACTGTGACACCGAATGCGGGCTCAACGTCCACCCCCGCTCTGAAAAATTTCCAAATGAAGAATGCGGAAGTATATAATTGGATTCGAAATGATACCACAGGCACTGCTCAATTTGAATACGTGTCGCATGTACTGACGTGTAGTCCTCGTCGGGCCGAATATCATGTCGTCCAGAGATTCCACAACGGTGAGCAGTCCTCAACCGTCACCATAGGAGACGTGCATGACTTAGTGCCGATGGATGAGAAATTCTATTTTTCGAAGAATAACATGACCAAAGCTGTTGTCGACACAATTCGTGATCGTAATATAATGGCCCTAATTATGGCAATGACCAAAGGCATATCCGGAAATGTAGGGGCAATGGTATACGGTGTGGATTCAGTCGAGCCGATCTCACAGGAGGCGGTGTTTTCAACGCAATGCATGTGCCGATATCCCCCCAACGTGTATTTGCTCATGGACTAACTATATAAAAAGTGATGCAAGACAATCTTCTCGTCCAATCTACCCGTCTTTTCAATGGCTTCAGCGATTCTTGGGCAGGAAAACTCACTGTTTGGTACAACTTATTCACAGTGAATGAAGATATCCTTAACTCTATGCTGGCGAACGTCACCATTAGCGCAATCAATCATTTTCAGCTCTGGCCAACTTCAGTCAACGTGACTCGACAGGATCTACATACACAATATGTGTGGTCTCGGCCGCTGAACCTCCTTCTGCCTTATTTCCTCTCCCTAGGTGTTGCGCTACCGTTGGCAGCTTTGGGCTATTGGTCCTTGCGCCAGAACGGTGTCCCAGCTACAGATAATGGATTCTTACAAGTCGCAATGACTACACGGGGTAACCACAAACTTGATCAGTTAGCGATGGGAGGTTGCCTGGGAGGAAACCATAACGAGTCCGCTGAACTCAAAAGCCTGGAGGTTCAGTTTGGAGAATTGGTTCAACCAGATAGATCCAGGCTGGGCATGGAGACAAATGACCTCAGATATCCCGCAGCAGATGTGAGACTGGCTGGATTTGCACCTAAAGATGAAGTTGCCCCCCTTCTAATTGGAAAACGATACGGGAAGCCTTGTGAAGACTGGTAATCACTAGCGCGCCCTTAATCTGAGCTTGATTACTGAGTACTATGGTGTCGACTGTATATACGCTCTGTGTACTACCTACTGGGTCTGGTTGTTGAGATATAAGAGGTGATTTTATAGAGTATATCACGGTGGCCCACTCGAATACCGATTACATTAGTGCGATCGAGCGACGCATGTAAGCTGGCGACGCAGCTCTATATTCCCTACAAATCAGCCCTTTTTACTACTGGAATATCTTAGCAATCACAAGCTATAGTAATATAATATTCGAAGATAGTATATATTAATACTTTATCTTTAATCTATAAAGTAGAGAAGTTTATATAAGCGATACTTCTTTCAGTATTAAATATTACACCTGTATTTTTGATATTTCTACTGGAAAGTGTAAGACTAAAAATAAAAAAATAAGAGAAAAATATTTTTAGCGTTTCTTATCCTATAATATATTATATATAAAATATTATATCTTTGCAATCTCTGGTTGCTGAGATATCCAAGTAGCAAAAAGGGCTGATTTATATGGAAAACAGAGCTGTGTCACCCGCTTCCATGCGTCGCTCGCTTGCCGATCACGTTATATTAACCTAGTTCAGCAAGAAAGGCTGTACATGGAATGGCAGGCTGTGTGCACAGCACACAGAGAGCCGGGCTGTACGCAGATCGCTACCCAATTCGTGTAACACCTTTTTTCTTGCTCCCTTGGCAGCAGGAGACGGAAAATGCCAACTACCCCGTACTGATCCACAGCGTCACGTAAAGTTGTCTGTCGATCGGCGAGACCAAAAGGTCATGTGGAGAAGAGGGTGTCGGTATAACACCCTATATAACCGTACCGGTTTTAATAAATGAATTGCAGAGCGGGCAGGTAAATCTGCTATCATGAATGCTTCACCAGCTCTTCAAATCCTTTTCTCACCATCACATGCGCTTGATAAACAGCAACTGAAACCAATATTCGACTACAAAAACCCTAGTATATCAAACCAACCAACAGACCCGAAAGCAATCAGTTACCTTCCAGGGGATCCTTCTATCGGCCTGGAGGAAACCACGGTTAATGATCACCTTTCTGGAGAACTCAAAACCTATCTTCTAGACGAGCTTTATAACCATTTATGGCTTGTTGGGAGACGCTCTGGTCGGAGTATCGACGCCCTTCATGCACAAAGACTCAAAGGCCGAAGCGTCGTTCCTACCGAAGACCCTAACCTTCACCTCGTCTGGCATCATAACCAGATTTACATAAAACCCGTCCCGGTGTGTCTTTTCAACTATGACTTCTGGGAGATTTACCTTTGTCCAACAAAGAATAATAATCATCCGATGTCTTCTACCTTCGATTCCTCTATCGCCATGGGATTTCTGAGATCGTATGCCTTTCTCATATCGCATCGCTTGGACTTCATCATAGCAAAAGAATCTCACTTGATCCCCGAGGATATTGACTGGATTGCCTGGTCCAAATTCATCCAAAGATTCCGGGAACTAGGCGACGAACAGGTGGCAAAACGATTCCACTATGGGCAGCTACGCCTCTCACGCCTCAACTGGGTGGTTCGCATCTTTCGCCCGCAGCACGCCAACACACTGTGGTTTTATCACGTCCCCCATTGGTCAATCACTACGTACCTTTCCCAGGCAACTATCCCGCTTCTGTTTATTTTCGCTAGTGTTTCAGTCGTTCTCTCAGCCATGCAGGTGGTTTTGTCAGTGCCATCGGATATCGGGTCGTTTCTCCAGCGGCTAGAAGACGCGGGATTACCGGAGATGAGACTTGCATTTTGGGTGTTCTCTACCGCGATCCTTTTGCTATCAGCGTTAATCTGGGTGTTGCTTTTGGGAGTTCCATTGGGTGTGTTGGTATGGCAATTGTCATGGGGGTTCGGGAAAAGAGAGCGCGAAAAGCGGGATCGTATATTGGGCGCCTAGGTAGGGGATGTGATTGGGTAGAAAACGCCATGCAAACCTAAATCCCCCTCAAAGTGGGGGTAGGCAATGAGTTGGACTTGTAGTAAGAGTTGGAGGGTTTTCATTCCTATGCTGTCTTTACAACATGTTGAAAGAATTTCCAAGCACAACGTAGTGTCTCCAGTGTACGGAGGAGTATTAGCCTGTTACCGCAGAAAGATTTAATGTCCTTACCTCCACAACCTTCTTTTTGATTTAAACGACAATGTGGGCCCGGTTTTACACGGGCGGGCTGGCCCTGTCATTCCTGGGATTGCTGATTTATCTCCAAATTATCAAGAACATCCCTTCGCCAGTTAATCCAGATCAAGTTCACAAAGCAGGGTTGGGGATCGTCCCCGCTCGGAATTATTGTTTACCTGCCCATAAACGTGGAACCGAGTAGTTTTACCTCGCAACTCAGCAACTACTCATAGCTAATACATCGTAGTATCGTGTTCGTTCATGGCCTCGGGTCGAATCCTGATACGACATGGAGGGCTAGAAAATTGACACAAACGACGAGCGCATCGACAGAATACCCGACGTGGGTTAGTGACTTTCTTCCAGATGATCTCAGTACACCGGATCATCAAGATGTGCGGATCTTTTTCTTCAACTTCGATTCATTTTGGAAGAGGGATGCGGTCCAGACACGCCTCTCGAATATTGGCAATGACCTACTCGAGCATATCACTAACACCATACGTCAATCAGAAGTGGTAAGAATAAATCGGATACCGGCGTATTTCAAAACTTCCACCACTGACGTGCGCCCAAGGAGCAGCAGCGGGACCTGATCTTTGTGGGCTATAGCTATGGGGGACTGGTTGTCAAGCACGCACTGGTCCAGGCTAATGGGAATCAAAACTTCGCAAGTATTTCCACGTATACAAAAGCGATCCTTTTCCTGGGTACTCCACATCGTGGATCGAGCTTCAGCATATGGGGTCGCATGTATGCCCGTGCTCTTTTGCTGATTGGTTCGAGTCCATCTCTACTGGCCGAAGTGGATTACGATTCAACTTTCCTTTTAGACCTGCATACTTCATTTGAGGCAGCTGTTGGGGACAAAATTCAGGTCTTCAATATCTTCGAGCAGCGTCCGACTTTGATCCTGAGTTTTTGGTTCCTCAGATGGAGAGAATTTGTATGTTGAGAATGCTACCATATCCAACTAGCAATACTGATATTGGCTGTAGTGTGTCCGCGAGCAGTCAGCGAAATATGGAGGGGGTAAAGTGAGGAATATTGGCCTCCCTGTTGACCACTCAGGATTGAATAAGTTTGGATCTCGAGACTCCAGTTACCAGACTATCCTGGCTATCCTGGTTAATACAATGAGTGCGAAATCTCCTAAAAGGCTGCGTCAGGTGCCGAACAATCAAGCTGAACTTTCCATCCCACTCCAGCTACCAATGGCTAGGAACGATAGATTCACTGGCAGGGAATTTCTCTTACAGCAGATACATTATCATCTACAGGAAGACTGCCAAGATATGCAGCAATGCATCGTCGCACTTTATGGTCCTGGTGGTATTGGAAAGACACAAACCGCGGCTGAATATGCCTATCATTATCAATCGCGTTATAACTCTGTGTTTTGGATTGATGGGGCTAGTGAACATACTATCAGACAAAGCTTCTCCGTTGCTGCAGGACAAATCCTGAAAAGCTGGCGCATATTGAATCATAATGAAACAGCCTATCGGATATTCGCCAAAGAGTTTGGAGTTGGGTCCTTTGAAGATGGAAAGACTTCCAGTACCCCAACCGCCCATCAAGCTGTCAAAGGAGTAATTGACTGGCTGTCTCAGCCTGAAAACAGTGCATGGCTCTTGATATTTGACAATCTAGATGACCTAGACTCATTTGACATTCGGGGCTATATGCCCAGCTCTCGACACGGGAATATCCTCATAACGAGTCGGCGGACGGACGTCTCGGGATATTGGAAGAGTATCGAAGTAGAGAGAATGAGTGAGAATGAGGCGAAATCTTTACTGGCGAAAAGCTCTGGATTTTTTGGGGATATGAATGGTGTGTTTGAATTAACACCTTCTTAACGCCGTTTGATTTGTTGACTTTGCCCGTAGAAGAAGTCTCCCTGGAGCTGCTCCAGTTGCTAGGGTTTTTTCCGCTGGCTATAGAACAGGCCGGCGCCTACATTTCTGTCCAGCACAAATTTCTTCCCCATGAGTCTGGCCTCTACTCTCAGGCACTCCAACGTTATATTCATGAATATCATGTGAATGCAGAGAGGCTCCTGAAGCACAAGCGGCCACAGTCAATATGGGACTATCGAAATGACACAATACTTACTACTTGGGAAGTCTCACTGCAAAGAATTGAGATGGATATCCCAGAAGCTTCTGAGCTGCTTCTTCTCTGCGGGTTTTTGTCAAACAATGATATCTTCGAGGGACTATTCACATATAGTCGATTTCAGCAATACAGTGAGTGCACCCTCGACACCTGTTCAAACATGTAGCTATGCTTATCGCCCAGACATACCACTCCAGGACCTAATGCATATCCTTTCATCTTATTCGCTCGCCCGATTTTCGGCCTCAATGGATGCCATCACAATTCACCCCCTCATACATTATTGGGCTCAGCAGCGCTTGCCACTGGCACGTAAACGCCAATTCTCGGAAGAAGCCCTTCGTCTAATTTCTCGCGCTTTACGTCTTACAGAAAAGAGCTATTCACGCCAAGAGTATGTCTTTTTTGAGAGTCGAGTCTCATCTCATCTTCATGCGGCCCTCAAGAATGTTCAGAATCTGCCCTCTAAAACCAAGTCCTTAGAACTTAGAAACTCCTCCGGTCCGCCCAGTGATATTTCTCTGCCACGTCCACTCTCAGTGGTGTATGCAATTACAGAAGGATGGCTTCTTTGGATGAGGGCAGCCATCCTAGAAATCAGGTTGTCTTTCTTCTCAGCTTTTTACGAGGAAGAACAAGTCGAAAACGACATATGGTGGCTTGCATACAAGTTGACCGTCACTTTAAGAGACCACACCCTGCTTGAACATACAGAACAACTCTTTCGCTGGCAATTCGCAGAGGCGAGCCAAGCACTACATCCAAAGCATCCCCGTGCGCTATATATCGCCGGGGATATTGCTTGGATACTACTACTCCAGGATCGCATTGAAGAGTCAAGAAAGTGGTATGAATGGCTCCTATCATCCAGACAAAAGGTCCAAGGCCCACAGCACTATGCAACCCTTGGTGCTGTCATGGGTATAGCTTCTATACTGGAAAGAGATGGATCGTACCATGAAGCACTAGATCTAAGGATGATGGCATATGAAGGCCGAGCGGCTAGGTTGGGTATAGAAAATCCCTTGACCCTTAATTCAGCCCAAGCTATTGGGCGTCAGCTTTTCAATGAAGGGAGGTACAATGATGCAGTCAAATGGTTCCAACTCGTGTTCTATGGAAGAAATACAACACTGGGCCCCGACCATGAAGACACATTAGAAAGTGCCCGTTATATTTCTCGCAGTCTCTTCTATCTCAATCGATATAATGAGTCATTAGAATGGGACCAGATTATATGGAAAGAGAGAAATAAGATATTAGGCCCCGACGATAAAGACACATTGCAAACTGTCCACAATATTGCACTGAGTCTTTTCCGGCTCGATCAACATATTGAGGCATTGAAGTGGGGTCAGATTGCATGGAATGGGAGAAACAGGACATTGGGCCCCGACCATAAAGACACATTACACAGTGCCTGTTATATTTCTCACAGTCTCTTCCATCTCAATCGACACAATGAGTCATTAGAATGGGACCAGATTGTATGGAAGGAGAGAAATAAGACATTGGGCCCTGACCATGAAGACACATTGCAAACTGCCCACGATATTGCACTCAGTCTTTTCTGGCTCGATCGACATATTGAGGCATTGAAGTGGGGTCAGATTGCATGGAATGGGAGAAACAGGACATTGGGCCCCGACCATGAAGACACATTACACAGTGCCCATAATATTGGTGAAAGTCTTTCTTTGCTGAATCGACACAGTGAGGCATTAGAATGGATGCAAATTGCTTGGGAAGGGAGAAACAAGACATGGGGCCCTGACCATGAAGATACCTTAGCAAGCACTCGTGGTATTGGGGTTATTTATTTCGCTCTCGGTAAATATGATGAAGCAATGAAGTGGTTGAATTCGGCATTACCGGGTAGCCTGCGGATATTAGGCAGGGACCACGAGGATACCAAAAGTATCATGACAATCATTGAGGCTCTTGAACAAAAAAGAGATGGAAATGAATGAAGGTTTCTGGGAGATTGTCACTAGCACCTACACAGCCGGCGATCCAACTAGCGCGCAAATGCAATTACTAGTTTTCTCAAAAAGATGTTTCGTAGTCAATGAGGTCTGAGGTCATCTCCAGAGCCGAAAATAGGCCTTCGACGACATTACAAATTGTTAATTTGACGAAGTAAGCAAGACAAAATAGATCAATATCTGCTCGTCCAATATGTTAGAAAGAAGGCAATCTTGCTTAGAACCGTTGTAAAAGTGACAAAAGAGATCCGAATAGTTGATATACTCCTAATACAATGGAGCATAGAGTTACGGAGCAGAAGACTAGAGGCCATAGAATATAAATGAGGGCGAGGGCTAAGGCAACTTGTCTAAGCCTGTTATATATTAGAAATGAGTTATTATTTACCTCCCATAGCTTGTTTTATACTCCAGAGTAAAAAAAATATCTCTTGCAGAACTTCTGAACTTGGTAAAACAGAGGCTATTATTGGATAAAGCTGAGAAATTCTTTAGTCAGTGCTTTGTTAAAAAGAGATTCATGATCTTTGCAGAGACATTGATAAAAAAAAATTTAAAGTATTTGTCTTTTGTTAAGGTGATTGAAATTGAATAGATTTTACGTATTGTAATTCTGTAGATGCTTAGTAATAGAAACTCCTAGAGCTATAACTATCAAAAGCAGATATTTGTTTAATATAGATTCTGAAGATTATTCAGAAGGGGATTATTGGTCACTTTATTCCGAAATCGGTGCTATTGAAGACTGGCGGGGTGCAAGATAGCTTTCATGAGTGATTTGGAGATATGAGGTCACATGGTCTCCAGTAGCTTGGCCTTGGTGCATGTATCAATCCACGATCGCAGCCGTAGTTAATATCTAGTGCGCTAATTGTGAGTAGGTTTATTCTAAGCTGTGCTCTAGGCCTATATCCTATCTAAGTAGGCGGTCCTAGGCCGGACCACCCTACTAAGAAACTCACAGGACTCATCTGGAGTAAACACAGGATAGACATCTCATCTCTTGGCCTCGGGGTATAGTTTCTGATCAGATCGACCGTCCAGTTTCAACAACTGGCTTAAAGAACGCTGCATAGCTACAACTAAAGAATTAGTAGTTTAGGACCTACAGCTCTAAATTAAGAACCGCAAGTTTTCTGGCCCCCATTTCAGGAATGGCTTGGAAGTTCGAGGCGCAGCAGCTCCATGTTGTATTATCCACAATTATCTAATGATTGACAACGTAATAAGTTAGGTTCTATACCCGATCCATATGCCGAATCAGGCATAGCCGCATAAGCTAAACAGATTAAATTTGCATGCTGTACCCCGAAAAGCTTGGATGCCTGAAGAAAACAGACTGCGTTACAAAATAGCCACAGTAAATGCAACCACAACATGTGGACAGCGATACGGACATTGACAGAGCTGAGCTCCTAGCTTTGATGATGTCGATATATATTTAATACTATGCAATGATGCTGTGTAAGGCAGGGACAGCATCCTTCAAGAACTGTGGATTCTAGGTTGCCACTACCCAAAAACTAATGACCGCTACCCACAGGCTGCGCCAATCATGCAGGGCTGAAATCCACTACCAGGGTTGTGACATTGCGTACCATCCACACTCTTGTTATCAGCCTCCGGCTTACGTAGGTTTGGTTAATCCGGGAGTCTGGCCCCTGACCATGAGCAGAATCCTTCAGTTAAGACATGTCACTACCCATCGAGTCACAAATGGTCACATTTTCGTTCCTCACTAGAAGAGGGTACGGAAATACTCTATGTAAACTCCGTGCATTCTTATATTTCACTGTCCATACTTTCACACAACAGTCTGATTTAGTTTCCTTTGGACCGCACACGCCGGGTCTCGCGGAACATGATCTCTGTTCTGGCCCTGCAAGGCCTTCGGCCAGCCTGGATCGGTATCACCGCGGTCGCAGCAGCAGCAGTACTCACTTTATTCTTTTTATACTCACCGCGGCTGCTGACTACTACCTCAAGAGTAGTAGTGCCCGACCCTGTAAACCATATCGTGACGGATCCAACCTATGTGGCCAGTAGTACCACCAAGGTAACTGCTAGCTTTGTCCTTCCTGACGCTACATTGATTGGCCATCTTGCGCAATACTTCATTGACTATCCACTCCCACCACCATATAAAGAGCACTTCGGCGAGTTAGGCCAGCGAAGCCGAGTCTTACGCGACTGGATAACACTGGCTGACCAGTCCGAAGATCCCACGAGCAAGAACTTGTTATTGAACGCTACGGAGAGAGTAGCCGTCTCTTTATACCCCTTTCTGGGAAAGCCTGAGGGGCAAAATGCTACACATAAACCAGTAGCGGATCTCCGGGCATCTTTTGAGCCAGGCTCAGCCGGTGTGGTCATCCCAACCAGCAATCATACTCTCCGCTTCGCGGCCCACCTCGTTGGTACTTTGCGCTCGGTTCTAAATTCGACGCTACCGATCCAAATCGTTTATGCCGGTGATGACGATCTCAGCCCGGAGGACAGAGCTCGTTTATCAAGCATCGTAAAATCGGGCCCTCCCCTTGAGTTTCTCGACATCCTGACCATTTTCGATGACTCAACACTCCAGCTGCAGACGGGTGGTTGGGCCATTAAGGCATTTGCAGCCTTGGGCTCGCGCTTCGAACGAGTTATCCTAGCCGACGCCGACGCCGTATTCTTCCAGCCTCCAGAGGTCCTGTTGGACCATGAGGCATTTGTTCGAACAGGGGCTTTATTGTTTCATGACCGACTTCTCTGGCGAGATGTGTTTCCACAGCGCAACGAGTGGTACAGAAGTCAAATTCGACAGCCAAGTGCAGCGTTGGACAAATCACTTGTCTGGACGAAGAATTATGCCGAAGAAGGTGACTCTGGACTAGTCGTTCTTGACAAGAGGAGAACAGACATACTCGTCGCTCTGTTCCACATATGCTGGCAGAATTCGTATGAAGTGCGCGAGGAGGTCACTTATAAGATAACATACGGAGACAAGGAGACGTGGTGGCTTGGTCTTGAGCTGACAGGTGCTTCCTATGAGTTTTCAGGGCACTATGGTGGGATTGTTGGCTGGGACCAAGTGGATAGTAGGGGCAGGCACAAGGTATGTAGCTTTGTCATCGCTCATGTTGATGCAAAGGATAGGCTGCTGTGGTATAACGGGAGTCTGCTGAAGAACAAGGGAAAGAGCAGCATGGTCAATGAGTATGAAGTTCCCACAAACTGGATGATTGATGCCGAATGGGAGAAGGGTGCTCACAAGGAGGATATGAGCTGTATGAAGGGGGGTGAATCGAGGAATCTGACTCAATATGAGTTCGATATCATGGAACGATCGATCGAGCTGGCTAAAAGTCTCGACGCAGTAATATACCCCGTGTCAAGGGAAACCGAAAATATCTGAGCCATGAATACCACAAGTCAAGGACATATGTCTGGTTGCCAGTCATCTGACCGGCATCTTTTTGTAGACTTGCTCAATATGGATGAGATATCTACGATGTACGCCCCCTATAGCTAATGCGCTTTCGGATGGACGTCGGTGGCTTCAGCTTCACCGACACTATCCAGTCCTTCTCGAATCGGTCACATACCAAACTAACAGATCCTGGTCATTAGATGAACCTTCGCTCATCTGCGTGATATGGCTTTGGACATGTACATATACTCATTGTATGAAGTTATCTGCATAGCATGGAAAATCTTACCCCTGCCGGCAGTTATAGCATATCATTCTAACACCTTTTCAGGCTCATATTTTCTGTTTGGCCTTTGTGAGTAGGGATCTGTCTTTTACCTTTTCCCTTCCCCCCGGCAAATCGCATTGATCGTTACTCCAAGGCAAAGCAACCTCTTACGTTACTTCCATAGCCGGAGATGATTGCACTGATTATAGGACTGGCTGCACATGTAGCCTATCTACTACGTTGAGCGATGTGCCTTTTGCTGTCGGTATCTTGAAGTTATAGCAGGCTTTCCAACTTCGTTTGTTTCATTGGCAAGCTGCTAAAGATAGGAAAATGCGACCCGATAATCACCTTCCTGCCTCCCCTACTTGAAGAATAAGAAATAATAAAAATAAACAGTCGGAACGAAAACTGAGAATCAAAAAATTTAAAGGGAGAGACATAAAGGAACAAAGGCGGACCATGAAGAGGAATAAGAGGATGGACAATTGTTTGAGAGTGTGGAGTGAGATCGCCAGCCCACACTTCTAGCCGTTTACTCCCCACATCCTCACGTAATAGGCGGCGAAATCCTTATTTAAACTCCACAAAAATTGTTTCGTGAGGGAATAATGCTGATGAGACGTGCTAGCCTTATCGCAAGGCTAAGCTGCGTGCAAAATAAGCATAGGCCTATGCCGTTGGGCAAATTGCTCGTACTTCATTACATAGTTCAGCAATCAAATGCTAAAAACTGTAATCAACACTGGCATAGAGACACCGTTAGTAGATCAAGTCATTTCCATGGCTGAGCGCTTCGCATATCCTGCAGAGGTTACGCACAGATATGTCTATCAGAAGTTGCGCTGCTGGCGGGGGTCATAGCGTGTTTTAACCTTCAAGGGGTGAGCAACTTTTTAGAGACCTTCTGGGATTGGACCACGTGGTGTTGTTTAGCTACCCTATTGATCCGTCAGAGACCAATTTTTGGACCAAAGGGCTCCTTCTAAACACCCTGAAGTGTTCAAACGTGGATGCTGACGAGGTGGTTGGAGGACTAGACGATGAGGTAGAAAAGGAAAAGAGATAGGAATGTGAAGGTAAAGATATAGAAGCTGATAACTCCAACTCTTTTCAATTCTCTGAAGAGATGGCGTTGTCTTCTATTCACACGCATTTTTCTTCTTCACTGCGTCGAAAGCTTTATAATCAGAGGGACTTGCCCCCTTTTCTAGTCCCTTAATTTGTGATATCAGAATAAACACGGAGCAGTGTAGAGTTATTCGTATTCCAGAATAGGCAGATACCACACACCAGGTTCCCTTC